CTTGCTTTTTGATCCCTTCTAAGGGTTATTAGCTCAACAGTTCCCGCAACAAACGTACGGGGCAAAGCTTTAATCGTTCCGATATGTCTTTGGTGTGTGTTAAGATCGCTCTTGGCAACCTGTACATTGCTTTGTATGTGGCAAAGTGCTTTGCACCAAGCAGTGAAAGTTTACGTCGCCTGCAAGCACTTTTTGGTACCACAAGATTTGCGCACGGAGGCCTGTTGACATGGATCGCTAATTTTGGTTGTTTCGGTGCAGCTCATTTGATTCGAAATTTAGCATCAGTAATTTTTGGTTGTTTTGCAGGATCGTCTAAAGCTGCTGCCGACAAAAAAGAAGGCGAAAGCAAAAAGCAATCGAGCAAGAAAGAAGAAAAAGAAGTGACGATGAAAGTGGAAAAAGGCAGAATGTATAAAGAAAACAAGCAGAAAAAGCTCAACGAACAGGTCAGAAACAGTGGTCTTTCATGCAAACCTGAACCTTACGTATGATCTAGATCTCTATTTATATAGCTGGCGACTTTCCAGTTGCTTTGACCAGCGGTGCATCAACTGATGCTCGGTTTTTTGGCGACCTTGATGTTCACTATATTCCCTAAAAGGATTACCAACTCAGTGGTTTTTTCAAAAAAAGCTTTTAGCAAAACTTTAGTCGTCTTAAAATGCCACTGGTTTATGTTGAACGCTAGTGTTATGGCCTTAAAAGTTGCCAATTCTACACTACGATGAACTTCCTTATCAAAAGGAGTACCGACTTCTGGTTTTAAAGCTGATTTAATTGAGAAGTTAACGTAACTGAAGTGCAGGAGCTATCCTGGCAATCTTCCCGGGACATCGGTTTGAAAAAAATTTTTACATGCTATTGTAAGCACACTTTTTCGACTTCTGAAGCAAAATTTTTTCGGACTGGTAGATTGCTTTGGACCGAACACTTTATGTTGAATATGAGCTTTTACTGCGTCTTTTTTTTCCAGGGGCATGAGCTCAAATTACGTGAGATGCTGATTCCGAAGAAACGCAAACGAGTGTACGCAAAAATCAAGAGAGGAATCAAACGTCGAGCACGCGAAGAAAGGAAGCTCAATGAGAAGAGGCTGAAACTACTGGAAACTTCTGGATAACCGTAGCTTTGTTCAAGTTGTTTGTTATTTGAAAATTAAAATTTGGAAATTTTTACATTTTGCGTGAACGTGTAATTTGTTATAGTTTATTGCTAAATGCAAATAAACCCTGTTGCCAATCAATTAACAAAATAAATGCTGCATTCCGTGAGCAAATTACTTTCAAAGGCCAATCACATACGATATAAATAAAAAGAAAAAAAAAACAATTTTTTACACAGAAATAAGTTATATACAATAGTACTTGAGGCATTATATAATACAAAGTCTGCTTCTTCATTTACGTATTGCTTTGACCAATGCTGCATCGCCTAATAGTCAATCACTTCTGACGTTTTTGGATTTAAATTTAGATATTTATTTGGTTATGGAAAGGGTTACAAAAAGATTTATGGCTACGGAAAAGGTTGTAAAAAAATAAAAGTAAAATTGAATTGAATGTTTCGGTCCATTAAGTCGCATACATTCCCATTCTCATGAAGAAACTACCAACTGGGTGCTTGGCAAAGCTATAATTATTTCGAGTTTTTCTTGACGTATATAGAGCACCACCGCCTCGCCTTAAACCAAGACACTTTACCGAGTAGGAAATACAGAACAATAAAACTGACAAATTTTCTCCTCATAAATTTTCTCCTTTTCACCTCCCGTTTCTCCAAATATGCACCCATTTTGCCAGTCTCTTGTAAAACTGCTCTCATTTCTGAGTTCCACAGTTCAAAGCAATACGCACTTGAATTACCCGAATTTGGAAATTACCACATGAATAAAACAAAACAGCCGTTATTCAGAACTTCATACAGTATCATAAGAGGTAAAAAGCATGGAACTGGAGGGGGTGAAAGGGGCGGGGAAAAAGAGGGGGAAGGGGAGGGTATAAAATACAGAGAAGAACAAAATTCATCTCCATGCTGGGCTGGTTTCTGAAAGTTAATCGAACCAATGGTCCCACTGGCACTCGTTACTCCACGGTTTTCTACACAGGTAACACCAGTGCGAATTGCACTGGATGCAATGTATATGCGAGCAACCACCGCTTTTTTCGGTTGGAGCACCACAA